ATTCTTGGAGAGAAAAAACCTTATTTATTTGAATTTTTAATTGTGCTTGACTAATTTTGATAAGCCTATAATTAATGACTAGAGGTTGGTAAGTTTGGACTTATTTGAAATATTTTAGTAAGATTCCTTTATTTATTATACATTTTCTAAGACGAAGAGACACAGAGAGAGTGAGAACCGGGCCTTCGGGGTAAAAAGATCCAAGAGTTGGATTTTATGAGTCCATCATCACCAAAATGGACCCATATAGACCCATTAATTACACTAGCTAGAGACAGTTTTTCACTTGGACCTAATACTGTATAGCGGAGATCTTTTCATATATACATATAACATTTGCCCGATTTAGCTAGATTTTTCTATTTATAAAATAACTGGCATTTTTTATAAAATATATACAGATTCGATCTACAATTTACATACAACTTAAATACAATTATGTTATTTGGACATATTTTATATGCCATTTGTACACCTGACATACAAAATACAATTTTTTTGTGTTTTGTTTTTCGAGTTTCAATTCTAAATTTTAACCAAAACCAACTCGAATTTTCACCAAACACTCTTAAAATTAAGATATAAACTCCAAAGGATAACCAATCATTTGCAACTTCCAATCCAAACAAAAAATAAATTGACAAAACCCAATTTTTGAATTCAAGCTTCGAAACTTTTTAGTGGTTGTTAATGGAGTTTATAACTTGTTTGGATGAATGTTTTGTATCGTTTCATAATGCATCGTATAATATTATATTGTACCGTTTTGATGTATATAATGTTTGGATATGTTATATTATTTGTTTTCGTTTCATGATGTTATGTACCAAAAATATGAATAAAAAACTTGAAAAGATTATATTATATTATTATATTATTACATTATATTAGCATAGATCATCAATTTTGGAGTATACTGTATATTGAGTTGGGTGGAATGGGGGAGGAAGAAGGGAGAGAAAATGAAAAGATTGAAGTCTAATACATTATTTTGTATATACATAAAAAATTTATATAAAATTATAATTAAGTAATAATGTCTGTTAGAGCTGATGATGGGTATTTTTAGACGTTGCAACAACTTGGAAATAACGAAATTATATTGTCGTTTGATACTTCTAAAATTGGAGATTTGACTATTAGGAGTATGAAAGAACGAGAAGATACACCGAAATTCAACTATCAATAAAAAGTTGAAACACTGAAAAAACGGAGAATGTCTATCTATTGAAATTCCGGAAAGAGCTTAACGTTTGTTTTAACAAGAAGGTAGATTTTTTTTTTTAAAAAAATGGAATTCTTCTTTTTCAGAATTGGTAATAGATATTTTCTGCCTCCCAACTTCTGTGAACTGTTTAAGTATTAATGCTGAATTAGAACATAAAATTTTTAATTTTTAAAAATATAATTTATATATTTAATTACATAAAATATTAAAAGTTATAATAATTTATTATTTAAAAGACATAAGAAAAATATACGACCAATGAATAACTCGATTAACTCCCGAAATCCTAATGATGCCATATTAAATTGAATAAATTTCTATACCACCAAATTATAAATCTCTAAAGAGAAGCCTTCTTAAAATGTAGTAAAATTTATTACATTGATAATGCATATAATTAAGTAGAAACTAAGCAACCTATTGAGGATTAAAGTTAGTTATAAGAGGGGAATTTTAGACAATGCACACTCACACATGTGATATGCACGTGAGTGACAGTCAGGTTATTAAATATTGTTAAGTGGTGTAACAGTGGATTAAGAAATAAAAATCATTCTTCTGCTTCTTTCTTTCTGTTCTCTGAATTCTCTAGTATTTAGGGTTTGATTGCTCATGAAAATCTAAATTCTATCATGGTATCAGAGCGGGTTGCTGCAATTGTGACGAAAATCTGTAAGATCTGAATATCGAACACTGTTAGAAGCTTCAATTGAATCGGCCATGGGAGAAACGGCGAGTCTTCAAATTGATCACAATCATCCTTTATTTTTAGCAGCTACAGATACGCCTGGAGTTGTATTGCACGATATCAAGCTCACCGGACCTGAAAATTATGGTTTGTGGAGTAGATCAATGCAGATGGCACTTTTGGTGAAGAACAAGCTAGGGTTCATAGAAGGAAACTGCCTGAAAAGCTCTTACAAAAGAGAATTGGAGAATCAATGGGAAAGATGTAACGCGGTTGTTCTTTCATGGATAGGACGCACAGTATCTGCACAATTATGGTCGAGTATCATTTATGCATCAAATGCAAAAACAATATGGAACGAGTTCAAAAAAAGGTTTGATAAATCTAATCTTACTTGTTTTTATCTTCCGTGGATACAAATTGGATCATTAAAGCAAGGTACTGACTCTGTAACATCATACTATACGAAAATGACCTTTGGGGTGAAATTGGCTTGCTAGTTCCAATACCTCGTTGTGATTGTGAAGAGACTAGGCCTTTCATTGAGCAATTTAAAAATTTACGTTTACTGCAGTTCCTAGTTGGACTTAATGAAAGCTATAGTCAAGTAAGAAATCAGATATTGCTGAAGACACCAGTGTTGACTGTAAAACCAGGCTTATGCTTTGGTTATTCAAGAGGAAAGCCAACGTGATCTAAGTGTGCTTGAAGTAAATAGGGAGCCCTTGACTATGATGGCACGACAGAATCAAGGATATAAGGCTAAGAATATTGGGATTATTTGTGAGCATTATGGATACAAAGGACACCTCAAGAAATATTGTTACAAAATTATAGGGTAACCTCCTGACTTTAAAAGCAAGAAGAAACAACAGGGCCAAGGAAACAGAGCTTATGCTAACATGATATCATAAGAGACTACAAGTTCTTCTCAAGGCCAACAACTAGGACAGTTTTTCACTGAAAGTCAGTACAAACAGATATTAGAGCTTCTGAACAAAACACCTGCAAGTGATGGTCTTACACTTATGGCAGGTATAACCACATTATTGTCCAATGCATCCTTTTGTGAATAGATAATAGATACAGGAGCATCTCATCATATTACATGTCATAAGGAGATTTTATCTAACTTAGAGAACATTAAGCAACAAAGAAGTCATAAAGTGCAGGTTCCAATAGGTAGCAAATGTTCAGTAACACACAAAGGAAATGTTTCTATCCTAGGAGGCTGTGTACTAAAGGATGTGTTATATGTTCCAGATTTTAAGTTTAATCTGTTGTTAGTCTCCAAATTGACCAAGGAGTTGAGGTGTTGTGCCCTATTCTTCCCTGACTTTTTTGTATTGCTGGGTCTTTACAATGGGAAGGTGATGGGGATTGGTAGAGAGGACTGTGGACTTTATAAAATAAAGTGGAGAGACAAGCCTGTAGCAGCAATGGTTACCAAGAAGACTGATGAATGCAATCTTTGGCACATGAGATTAGGACATCCACCAGTAAAAGCAATGAAGCACATTTCTACCTTGAAGAATAAAGTAGTAGATACTTTGCAACATAATTGTGAAGTGTGCCCTTTAGCTAAGCAAAGTAGATTAAAATTTCCTCTTAGTAGCAGCAAAACTGACAGTATTTTTCAGCTTATCCATCTTGATATTTGGGGTCCTCACAAATTACCTACATATGATAGAAAATATTATTTCTTTACGATTGTGGATGATTTTAGTAGGTATACCTGGGTGTGCTTATTGCAATCAAAGTCTGAAGTTGTAATAGTATTGAAAGATTTTCTTATAATGGTAAAGACTCAATTTGACATGAATGTGAAAGTATTGAGGTAATGGGAAAGAGTTTTTTAATTCCAGCTGTAATGAGTTGTTAGCATCTTTAGGCATTGTGCATCAAAGCAGTTATCCTTACACACCCCAACAGAATAGGGTGGTGGAAAGGAAACACATGCATATATTTGAAGTAGCCAGAGCATTAAACTTTTAGAGTTCTGTGCCTAGCAGGTTTTGGAGAGACTGCATCAAAACAATTGTATATATGATCAACAAGTGGCCTACATATCTATGACAAGGAAAATCTCCTTATGAGATTTTATCTAATAAACTACCCGTTATTGATCACTTGAAGGTGTTTGGATGTTTATGCTTTGCTAGCAATCTACCAAAAGGAGACAAGTTTGCAAAGAGGGCAAGAAAATCAGTCCTCATAGGGTACCCAAAAGTTCAGAAAGGGTATAGATTGTTTGACTTAGAAACTAAAGCTATCTTTGTAAGCAAAGATGCTAGCTTTAGAGAACACATCTTTCATTTCAGAGAAAATGCAACCACTTTAGAAGACTACTTTCCTATCCCAAGTATTTGTGCCACTACAGCCCGATTGCTCATTATCTACACCTATTATTGACCTACAGAAATCACACACAGACACAAATGCTCACATTCAACCTACAAACACAATCCAGTCATAGGAAATATAATTACACCTACTGCAGAAGTACTTGAGATTGATCATACAACCCAAAATACAGAAGCAGTTGAGGTTGAGCATGAAGTGCAAGATATCTCAGCTGAATTAATCCCAAACACTGAACTAGAGATCACTGTTGTTCCTCACACCAGCATACCGGAACCTATTAATGCTCAAGGTTCCAGGAAGACCACTAGAACATCAAAACCTCCAGTTTGGCCAAAAGACTATCAAACTACTAAGAAGTTTTCTAGTAATTGCTTATATCCATTGTCTAACACTCTGACTTATGCTAATCTCAGAGTAGGTTATCAAGCATATTTGCAGGCTTTCTCAGTTGAAGTTGAACCTAGTACTTTCCAGTAGGCTTCCAATGATAGCGGATGGTTTACAGCTATGCAAGAGGAGATCAAAGTCCTTGAGAACAATAATACTTGGGAGATAGTGGACTTACCAGTTGGGAAGCAAGCCATTGGGTCAAAATGGGTATACAAAATTAAATACAAGTCTAATAGAGAGGTAGACAGATACAAGGCAAGGCTGGTTGCGAAAGGATATAATTAAAAGGAAGGGCTGGACTACCATGACACATTTTTTCCTGCAACAAAGATGGTCACAGTCAGGACCATTATCAGCGTAGCTGCTGCCAAGGGCTGGATTTTATATCAAATGGATGTTAGCAATTCCTTCCTACAAGGAGATCTCTATGAAGAAGTTTATATGCAGTTGCCTCAGGGATTTCATAAGCAGGGGAAGTTGTGTGCAGGCTTATGAAATCTCTCTATGGTCTCAAACAAGCATCCAGACAATGGAACATAAAGCTCACTGATGCACTTGTTCAGAGTGGTTTCAAACAAAGTGCATTTGATCACTCCTTATTCACAAAGTAATAAGGAGAAGCGATGGTCATTATACTAGTATATGTGCATGATTTACTGATTACTGGAAGTTGTTCCAGCTTAATCAATGATGTTACGACAATTCTACATAGCAAGTTCAAAGTTAAGGACTTAGGCCAACTAAGATATTTTCTGGGAATTGAGGTCTCAAGGTCAAAAAAGAGGATCTTACTCAATCAAAGAAAGTATGCTTTGGAATTAATTTCAGAGATAAGCTTAAGTGGTGCAAAGCCAGTTGCAACTCCTATAGAGTTGAATCAAAAACTAACAACTGTAGAGTATGACACATGTATTGGGAAGACAGGAGATTCAGAGTTAAAAGATAATTCAGCATATCAAAGATTAATAGGGAGGCTGTTAACTATCACCAGGCCTGACATAAGTTTTGCAGTACAAACTTTGAGTCAATTCATGCAAAAGCCCAAAAAGTCACACATGGAGGCAGCATTGAGAGTGGTGAGGTATATCAAAGGAGCACCAGGCATGGAGTTATTGATGGAAGCAGGAGCCATTGATCATCTAAGCGCATATTGTGATTCAGATTGGGCATCATGCCTCAATACAAGGAGATCTGTAACAGGTTATGTCGTGAAACTAGGTAATTCTTTAATATCATAGAAAAGAAGCAACCTACAGTGAGTAGGAGCTCAGCAGAAGCTGAGTATAGAAGCATGGCTGCTGTAACTGCAGAGATCACATAGTTAACAGGAATGTTGGAAGACTTGGGGATCAATGTGTCTAAACTTGTTTCTCTGTTTTGCGATAACAAGGCATCAATACAAATAGCTGGGAATCTAATATTTCACGAGAGAAAAAAGCATATCGAGATAGACAGTCATTTTGTAAGAGAGAAGATCAAGACAGGGCTTATACATCCATGTTATGTTTCTTCTTCTGTGATGACCCAAAAGGTCATCTTATGTTTTAGAACTTGAATCTGTGCTCTTAAGCCTTAAAAATATCATTCTTATCCTTTTTGATTTACGTGCACGGTCCGAACAAGTTTTCGAAAAGCTTTTATGTTAAAAACTAATAAAAATAAGAATTTTTGTCTTAAAAGTTGATTTTAGTTGACTTCAGTCAATATTTTTGGTAAATGAGCCCAGATCTATACTTTGATAGTCCCGGTAGTTCCGTATCGAATTATGAGACCTGGGTGTATGTCCAGAATCGAATTCAGAGGTCCCTAACTTGAGTTATGAATTTTTGATGAAAATTAAAAGTTTAGAAATTAATTGTTTTTAAGAATTGATTGATATTTGGCATTGTTAGTATCGGTTCGGTATTTTGGTTCCTGAGCCCGATACATGTTCATTATGATATTTAAGATATGTCTGTGAAATTTGGTGAGAAACAGAGTTGATTTGACATTATTCGGACGTCCAGTTGAGAAAATAGAAATTTTAAAGTGTTCTTGAGAATTTCATTCGATTTGGGGCTAAATTTGGAGTTCTAGGTGTTATTTTGGCAATTTGATCATGCGAGCAGGTTCGTATGATATTTTTAGACTTGTGTGCATATTTGGTTTGGAGCCCCGAGGGCTCGGGTGAATTTCGGATATGCTATGGGGTGATTTGCACTTAGAAAATCTGAGATTGTGCTGCAACAGCTGTTCTGGTGTGCCCTTCTTCGCGTTCGCGTAGGTAGTGTCGCGAGCGCGAAAGGTAAAATGGGGGCAGGAGAATTTTCTTCTTCGCGAACGCGAAGGACTGGTCACGAACGCGAAGCGTTGGGGGTGCCTTCGCGAACGCGATAGTTTAAGGGACCTGGGGGAGGGGGTCATATTCTTCTATGAGAACACGTCCACTAGGTCCCGAATGCGAAGGCTTGGGGGGAGCTGCCTTATGCGAACACGTAGAAAGACTCGCGAATGCGAAGGCCTTATTCCGTTATGCATCGCGATCGCGACAGGCCTCTCGCGAATGCGACGAAGGCCTGTCCAGCGACTTAAAACAGACTCTAAACACGGGTTTAAGCCATTTCTTCAATATTTTTCAAGAACCAAATATGTAGAGGCGATTTTCTAAGAGCCATTTCTTCCCCAAATTGTTGGTAAATGATTCTAAACCATTTTCTTTCAATTACACATTATATTTCTTGAATTATCAACCAAAACTCTAGAGCTTTCATGGTAGAATTAGGGGTTAGGGTAGGAACTAGGGATTTCGAAAATTTGGGGCTTTAGACCTCGATTTGAGGTCGGATTCCAAAACTAATTACATATTCGGGCTCGAGGGTGAATGGGTAAAAGGATTTTGGTCCGAATCTCGGGTTTTGACCAAGCGGGGCCGTAGTCGATTTTTCGACTTTTTGGAAGAAAAAAATTGAGAAATTTAATTTATGAAGTATAATTGATTCCTTTAGCAATATTTGATATTATTGAGTCATTTTTGAATAGATACGAGTGGTTTGGAGGTGAATTCCAAAGGAAAGGCTGTGATTGAGAATTAAGTGGCCTTCAGAGCAAGGTAAGTGTTGTGTCTAACTTTGGCTTGAGAGAATAGGTATTGTGTGAGTATTTGCTACGTATTTTATTGTTGAATACGATGTATAGTTGAGGTGACGAGTATCTATGCGTTGTGGTCGAGTCATATCATGCGAGTGAAATTCCATTCTTGCAAATTTGTAGTCTTAAATCTTGTTATCCATGCTAATTGTTGTTGTTGAAATTTTGGGAGACTTGTATCCGGTTCCACTAAGGTTGATAAAATTGTGATATTGATTCGAGGTTGAGATGTTAAATTGTGAAAGTAATCATTGATGAAATATTGATTTCTTTGTAAAATTTCTCTCTATCCGTTGTTATTGATTCTGTGAATTGTGGAGAAGAGTGTAAAGCACGAAGGGTGATGCCGTGCGTGATTTATTTATATGATGAGGAAGAGTGTAAAGCACGAAGGGTGATGCCGTGCATGCATTATTTATATTGTGAGGAAGAGTGTAAAGCACGAAGGGTGATGCCGTGTATATTTTGTGAGGTTTAAAGCACGAAGGGTGATGCCGTATATATTATGAGAGGTTTAATGCACGAAGGGTGATGTCGTGCCGTTCTATTTATTTATTTGGTGAGGTTGAGAGTAAAAACACGAAGGGTGATGCCGTGCAGTTTTCCTTGCTGTTTTAATTTCTCAATTCGTTTAAGAATTTTCGGTTTAATTCTGTCTTTTCATTATTTTCACTCTTTATGTTGTATTCCCCTACTGTATGTTCCCTTCCCATTATTTTTGTGTTATTTCTTTATTTACTGTTATTGCCACTAGCATGATTATACTGTTCAGGTTATATGTGGGTGTCTTGTCCTAGCCTCGTCACTACCTCGTCGAGGTTAGGCTCGACACTTACCAGTACATGGGGTCGATTATACTGATGCTGAACTCTGCACTTTCTGTGCAGACTTTGATACCGGTTCGGATTGATCGAGATTTTTGCTATTGGTCCGTTGTCCGGAGACTCAAGGTAGATCTGTCGGCGTTCACAGACCTTGAGGTCCCACCTATCTTTTCTGTTCTGCTATTTCTTTCATTCAGACAGTTGTATTTCTTTCAGATTATTACTTGTAGTAAATTCTAGAATGCTCGTGAATTGTGACTCTAGATTTGGGTGGTAGTAATTAATAAATTTTAATGATATTCCGCACTTATTATATTTTATCTTAGTTAATTATTGTTAAATACTGAATGGAAATAAGGAATTGGTTAATGATTCTCTAACGTTGGCTTACCTAGCAAGTGAAATATTAGGCGCCATCACAGTACCGTCGGTGGAAAATTTCGAGATGTGATAGTTGGTATCAGAGCCCTAGGTTACATAGGTCTCATGAGTCACGAGCAAGCTTAGTAGAGTCTGAAGGATCGGCACGGAAACGTCTGTACTTATCTATTAGAGGCTATGAAGTTTAGGAACAATATCACATCTTTTATTCCTTATCGTGCGGCATTGATTTTGCTTGAAACCTATATCTCACACATTCCTTTGTATCTACTCGTGTATGACATTGCGTACTCGGTATCAGTTGTGCGTCGATGGTTCGTGATGCCGTAGATGAACTACGAGGGAGCCAGAGATGCTCAAACATTGCCTCAATGTGTGATTCCAATTAAAGATTCAGACGTATAAAGAGATCACCTTATGAATAATGTGGGGGACCTTGGCATCTGGTTGATTTATACGAGTTGTGAAGGTTAATATTGTGGACCATCAGACATAGTGAACTATGACTTCGCGCCAAGTGGGGGAGTCCACTATCAATGAATGGATTGCGAGTCATGTGTTATATCAGTTTTGGCCTGAAATGTATATATATGTGGTACTGAAAGGTTCTCCCAAAATTTACATGTGTTTGAGGCATGAGATGTTGTAGAGGATAAGGTTGGGACTTGCGGTATGTCCGCCTACTTAATAATCCTATACTTCAGTACCGAAGGAGTTAGAGAAATAACTTTAAATTTATAGAAGGTCTACTCAGCACGGACGCCATGGTTGCGAATTTTGGGGTGCTTCGGAGGAAGTACAGTGGTTGACGAGATTCTGGACTATGTGGTTCGTGCCAAGATTTGTCTGTATGGAGCTCTACTTTTGTGATCGTTGTGTATAAATAGGGGTATGGGTTACCTCTGAGAAGAATCGAAGAGTATGTTAAGAAATGGTTCAGCTCAAAAGTGTTAAGTCAGCATAACAAAAGAAGAAATTAGCCTAAGGAGAGATAATTCTGCACAAGTGTCGGTGGCAAGCCTATGAAGAGGGCAGACCAGCCAATGCAACACCACCCACTTGGCTCAGTTCTCATAAATGCTTTTGAAAAAGTTTGTTCCCGGACTCTCCATAATACGTGGCGCATAGTGTTTGAATGGTTGTGTCAGGTCACCATGACAGTGTCATAATATGCCATCAGGTTCAATAAGTTAGCCCGTCATATTCCTACTTTGCTTCCTACATCGAGAGAGCGAGTCTACAGACTCATTGAAGGACCCAATTATAATCGTAAAATTTTGTACAACTCGGGAGCTACGGGCTAATACTTCATTTCCGTTAGTGGTATAAATTGCCAAGATAAGGAGACCAAGACGTTTCAAAGTTCTGGGGGATTCAGTGGATTCTACTCTGCAGGTAAAAAAAAATCATTATGGCAGGGGCTCGGGCAGTCGGGCAGCCCAGTCCGCACATCGGATTACCCGAGGTGCTCCAGTAAGTTCTTTTAATGCACCATCGACATGAGTTTCCTACAATGGTTATTCCAGTNTCATATATTATGGTCTCTGATGATTACACCAGTACCACTATTTTGATTATTTTGATCATAAGCTCTATCAATGTTTAGCTTGTAATGGTTAGTAGGTGGGTGCCATCTTATTGGTATGTGAAACATAGGTTTTGGGTTCGCAGTGATTTGTGCGAATGATATGAACTCAGCAACTTGGGTCTTAAGTTTGGTTTGGAAAGTGATTGAGGTTGTGTGGTAAAATAGGTTTAGAGTTCCTATTAAGCCAAGTGTTCCACAGTATGAAAGGTATTAAAGTGGAGTTTGGGGTTTTGATGGACGCATTTGTTGTGTTGGTGATAGTGTCTTTGATACACATATCCTTTAACTAGTGGACAAAGTTGTGTGTTTGCNTGGTTTG